TTCTTTTTTCTCCATTAATTTCTCTTAACCTAAACGTGGTATGAGCAATGCTAGTGGCACTCGCCTTGTGCACTCTCCGGCGGACACTTTCACTTTTATTGGGCCACGTTATTTTCGGGAGTAAGAAGTTGCACTTGAGGACTTCAAACAAGCTTACGTGGCCCAATGAAAGGGGAAGTGTTGGCCGGAGAGTGCAAGAGGCGAGTGCCCCTAGTACTGCTCAACGTGGTACAAGTTTCCTTATTATCCAGTAATATTACTTTCCTGGATGCAGGGATGAATCTAAAATTTCAAACATTGGCCCGGTCCGCTTTCCAACTCCACCGTTCCGTTTGTTACTCTGTTATGCTGAGGTCTCTTGGATTTACTCAACCCGCAATGGGGCGAAGGAGAAACATACCATGCATGGTGCAGATGAATTCCCGGCACTCCACAGTCCACACCGCATCATAGGGCTGAGCCCAATTCACGTAAATAAGAAGAAGACCCAGTCTTATCGAGATTCAAGTTGTCGAAAAGGGCTGGACCCAACTTACCAAGACAAGAAAAATATCCAGTCTCATTGATATCAAATTGGGGTTGGAGAAGAGGGCTGCAACGAACTTACCAAAACAACAAAAACATCAGCTCAAATTGAGAATTTCTTCTATTTTTTGCCAACCAGAAACCGACATTTCATTTAGTAGTCCTATTATTTTTAAACTATGGAAAATTTTATTTATTATCAAGAAGCTGTACAGCATTTATACTTGGGAAATATTTATTACCAACAACAAACTAAGTAATTCAAATATAAATCTTTTTTTCATTAAAATAAAAAATTTTAAATTTAAGTTGTATACATGCAAATGGGTTGGAGTGTGATTAAATGGTGCAGATGGTTGCAATGAAGATACAATGCATATAAGGGGAATACTGATAAAGGTGAAGAATGTATCACGGTGAAAACTTCAGAAAGAGCTAACCACTTCCATAGAGAAAATGCCTCCAAATACACTAATGCTAGCTTTTAGCATTTTCAAAAATAAAATTTTTTTTAGTCATCTTCGAAGTTATATTCAGGTTTTAAGTATTGGTATCATTACGAAAACCCAACAAATTGCCTAGGCACAGTTGCTTAATAGGCTTATTAGTCAAAATATACAAACCTGTTGCAGTGTTGAAGAATAAGCAGTTAATCACTAAAATATTATAGCTCCTAGTCTCAAACTCTATTGAGGATCTATATCGGAAATTGAAACGTTGTTCACTGTGAATTGAGCTGGTCGATTTGTAGATGCCTCTAGCTCCATGACAGAGTGCATACAATATGCTGGTTTTAATGGCAATGGTAGAGATCCAGGGCTGCTGCTAAGCATTTGAACAAGCCATGGTTGGTCTTCTAGCAACATCTTCCTGGACACATAGTAGGCCTACCTGGATACATCTCATCATTTCACCACTAGAACCATCCCTCAGAATGGGATCTATTAAATTTTGAGCAGTCCCCTCCATCCAATTTTTCCATGCCTGCAAAGATTTAGTGATATGTGGATAGTTAAAGGAGAGTTCTACACAATTTCTCAAATTCATTTCAATAATTTTCATCAACTCCTATTATATAAAAACTTACAAAAGTTAGAAGATCCTCCCCATCTTCCGCAATGCTGAGATTAATTTTTTGACCACTGATAATTTCTAAAACTAGCACGCTATAAGCATCTGATTTAACTGAAATATGCCCCCTCCTTGTGTATTCTGGAGCCATATATCCACTGAACACATGAAGAGGTAAGTTAATATTTGTTAATCAAGTAACTGAAATGTGTCCAAGGTTTCTTATACTTACAATGTTCCAGCAATTCTTGTTGTATCTGCTTGAGTTTGATCCCCTACAAATAACCTTGCCAGTCCAAAGTCTGAGATTTTAGGATTCATTTTTGCATCTAACAGAATATTAGATGCTTTTAAATCACGGTGAATGATTCGATAATAAGAATCTCAATGTAGATAAAGAATCCCTTTAGCAATGCCTCCTAAGATTTTGTGTCTAGTATCCCAATCTAGTTCTAAACGCTTGATTGGATCTGAATTCACAAAAACACAAGCTTAAACGCATCAAAAAATACTGCTTGCAAACAAAATATTCAAACATTTTCCGCCTTGTCATCCATGCCACAAGCCAAAGGGAATTTACTTCTTAAACTGAACGTGAGTTGCAACCTTACCGAATATGAAGTGGTTGAGGCTTGAATTAGGAACAAACTCATAGATCAGAAGCCTTTCATTTCCTTCCAAGCAAAAACCTAGCAG